ACGTTGCAGGATCATTCAACACTTCTAAGCTCCTCAGATACACACACACACACACACACACACACACACACACACACACACACACACACTTTTACACATGAGCATAGGGTTAAAAGTAAGATGAATATTTAATACTAAATCTCAATGGACAGCAAACCTGCTATTTAATGGCATTTTCCCTTCGCCCTTTAAATGCTTGGCTCCTTTGCCTTCAATGAACAAAGTAATCAAAAGAAGTCTAAAACCATCTTGTTCTGTTACTCCCTGCTGGGAAGCCCTGGCTTCCTCTTTGTAGTCAAGATGTCTATTCCGTTTTGTCTCCAGCTGGAACTTTGTACTCAAAACCCTCCTATTCATCCTCACCCAAGCAGTTCCTGTAGCTGCGAACCCAGAACCCCTCCTCCCAATCCCTTTCCCGGGTGCTGACGCCCTGTTAGAGTAAGGTGAGGCGCTTGGACACAGGCGCTTGCTTCTAGGAAGGTCATCCACTGGGGCTCTCCTGGATCCCCCAACAGAGCGGACCCAGAGCTGTGGCGCCTAGCTGGATTGGAATCACACACTTAGAATAGGACCTAAAAGATGAGTTATAGGGAGGTCAAATGACCACAAGTAATTTGTTCTCATATTTTCTCCTCCCTGGATCCCAGGAGGTACCAGAAGCTAGAATGGAAAGAAAAAGTCAATATGGTATGTAGATTTCTGCATTTTCCTTCCCAGAAGTCATAGAAATAAATATTTTTTATGTGCCGAGAGGTAGGAAGGACACAAGTAGGAGAGGGAGAGGAAGAGGGAGAGGGTCACATATTAGCAATTAATACACCCGGGCAGAGGACATGTAGCAGTCCACCATTAAACATGTCATTCCATGGTTAATACAATGGTTTAAAATTAGACGTATAACTAATGTGATTCAGCATGTTAACCAAATAATGCAGAAAATCACTTGATTATCTTAGGATATGCAGAAAAGTGTTTTGAAATAATTGGAATTCAGTCACAATTTTTAATTAAAAAATTAGATTTGATGATAACTATAAACCAAACATGGCACTTCGGGGTGAAACGCTAAAGTCTGCCATCCAGGTTCAAGAATAAAGATGTTCACTATCCCTAACTTTTATTCACCATAAAACTGAAGATTGTAAGCAGTACAATTAGACATCAAATTAAAATAAAAACATCAAGTGACATTTGTAGATGAAATAGTCATATACTTAAAAAGATACATACTTAAGATGATCTATTGGTAAAATATTACAGATGGAAGTGTGCTGCTGGACATAAAGGTATTATTTTTAAAAATCAGTTGTACTTCTAAGTGACATTCACTTAAGTATAACAAATACTTAGATAATAAAATGTACAATTATATAAATACTTAAAGTAAAAGATGTGCAAGAGGAGAAGTCTTTAAAATATTTTTAAAATTTTTTATTTTTTGAGATTATAAAGAATTACATAATTTCCCCTTCCCTTTCCTCCCTCTAAACCCTTCCATATAACCTTCCTTTCTCTCCTTCAAATCCATGGCTTCTTTTTCATTAGTTGTTTTTATGTACATATATGTATAGATATATTCCTAGATATATAGACACAACCCCCTCAGTCTATATGTTTCTTGTGTGTATGTCATTTGTCCTTATACTCATAGGTAAGTGTAGTCCTTACCCCTCATCAAGGAAACGTCTCTTTGCTGCAGAGATCATTACAGAAAACTGCACCAATAAAAATACAGAGTTGTGGATCACATGCTAATACAACTCTTGCACCTAGTTACATTTCAGAAAAAGGGACAGAAAGACTGTAAGGGCCAGAGGATCCGCAGTTTGCTGTGAGATTGTGTGTCCTGGAAATGTCACACCCTCACTGGTAAATTTTAAAAGAGTGAAATCAATGGAGAGCTACAAAAACAATATTCTTAGGTCAAAGTAGTGCATTAATTAAAAAATTAAATGTAACCTTAGTGAAAATCCAGCAGGTTTTTTTTTTTTTTGGCTTTTACAAGACAGGGTTTCTCTGTATTGTTTTGGAGGCTGTCAGTCCAGCCCGGCCTCGAACTCACAGAGATCTGCCTGCCTCTGCCTCCCGAGTGCTGGGGTTAAAGACGTGCGCCACCACCGCCCGGCAAAATCCAGCAGTTTTTTAAAAATAGTAATAAACAAAAATTTAAATTTAACATGGTCCTGGGTATGGCAACACACAACCGTAATCCTAGAACTTGGGAAACTGAGGCAAAAGTATCAGAAGCTCAGAACCAGACATTAAAACCTCCCAGATAGGAAACTATGTTGGATACCTTGCTGCATTTGTTGACTGGTTTTATGCCAACTTAATACAAGCTATACCCACTTGGAAAGAGGGAACCTCAATAAAGAAAATGCCACCATCAGACTGGCCTGTGAGGAAGCCTGGAAATTTTCTTGACTGATGTGCGCAGCACCATCCATGGGTAGTGGTCCTGTGTGCTTATAAGAAAGCAGGCTGAGCAAGCAGGGAACAGGCCAGTAAGCAGCACTCCTCTATAGTTTCTGCATCCGGTCCTGCCTTCAAGTTTCTGCCTTGAGTTTCTACCCTGACTTCCCTGGACGATACAGTATAAGCTGGAAGATGAAATAAACCCTTTCCTCCCCAAGTTGCTTTTCGTTATGGTGTTTATCATAGCAATAGAAATTCGAAGACGTTGTAGTACATAGAAAAACTTGCTATATACCTAAAGTTGTTAAGGTACTGTGGTATTGTATGACAGACAAAATGGTCAATAGATCAGAATAGAGAATAGACCGATGTTTAGACAATTGATTTGTGATTGATCTCCACTGCAGTGAGATGGGGGAAGGACAGAAAGCTTAACAAATAGAGCTGGGCAACAACTATTCATTTAAAAACAGGTACATTTGATCCTTTGGTCACCATAACACAGAAATCGAATCTAGCTGGTGTGGCGGTGGACCCCTTTAATCCCAGTACTCAGAGGCAGGAAGAGTTTGAGGCCAGTCTGGGGGCACATATTGAGATCCTTAAAAAAATGACAAACCAAAAAAACAACTAAACAAACAAAAAACAAACACATTTAATAATGCCACTGAAGAGAAGGAGAGCATGGAAGAGCTGAGTGGTAAAGACTCTAGGGTCCACCTTTGTGGTCCATGCCACACATTCATCAGGCTCTCATACTGATGGTCTTCTTATAAACAGCAGACTTCTAGGCTCGTTCCGTTCCATCATCCACTGGTTGTGGCTATCACCACTGAGGTGACAGCAGAAAGCAGAAGCTTGTAGGTAAAAATGGAAAGGCGGGCGTGGACTAGAGGATGGTGGTTACTCCAGGCAAAGGAGCAAGACCAAAGAATCACAAACCCTGAAAAGTCTCTTTTCTAGGGGAGAAAGATGTTGTAGACTGTGACTGTTTCCTATGTGGAAAAAAATCATCTTTTAGAACCTAGATCTCGGTCTATGTGAACCACGTCCAATGTGTTTACTACTTGTGTCTTACACACACACACACAGAGAGAGAGAGAGAGAGAAAGAGAGAGAGAGAGAGAGAGAGAGAGAGAGAGAGAATAATAAAGCTTTTGTTTTAAATTAAAAATTGTTCATGTTAGTGGGTAACAGAACTCGGAGTTCACTCTGGCAGAACGATACTTATCTTTCTTCAGGGGAATGAGACAATGAGACAATTGTTTCTGGTTTCTCATTTTGATGTATAATTTACTTGGAACTGGTGTGGGGGGGAGAGAGTGAGAGGTAATGTAAACTATGGTGCTTAAGTGATGGGACCACTGAGGAAAGACAGATATCATATCTCATTTTATATTGATCACGGCACCTGACCCAGTTGGGGGACAGAATGTAACCACCATCCAGTTACCAGTTGCCTCCAGTAGATTGGAGTCTGCAGAGGCTGGCCCTTGGAAGGCTCGGCTCAGTAAGAAAGGTTTGTAGTTGAATGGAACAGGTTTGGGTAGATAAGCTTTGCTTTTCTATGTGGGCTTCTGTCCGGGACAGCAGGGGAGGCCAAGCACTGGGTGTGGGGTGACACCAATCATGCATCCCAAGTGAGAGGAATCCTAGATTCTATCCAAGAACACTAGAAAACAAGTGGAGATCTCCAGGGACAAGACCAACCCACCTGCTGTGGCAAGGATGCTTCCCCAGAAGGCTGCAGGGTATTAGTAGAGACGAGGGGGCTGGGGTGGGGTGGTAAAGACAGGGTTTCCTAATGTCTGAGATCCAGACGGGGCATTGGAATCACTGGATAGTGGATTTAAAGAAAAGAAAAAAAAAGGCTTTCAAGAGACAACCTGACTTTACCTAGAAAGTATGTCTCAGGGTCTGGAGGTCTACTGGCAGCAATCTGGGTGGGTGAATAGGCCAAGAGAATTTTTTACTATGCTCCTTTTAAACTCTTAGGTAAAGCCAAAAGGGGTCTGGGTCTGGGGAAGAGGCAAGAGGGGTTGAAGTGTGATCAAAGGGGTGTCCTGAGACCCCTAAGCCGAGGTAAGTCCTCTAGCCTCTGAAACAGGATTTCACGTCTGCGCTCCTACACATCTAGGTTAGTAGTTTTTGTTTTTAGAGAGGGTTTCTTTGTGTAACAGCTCTGACTGTCTTTGAACTCATTCTGTAAACCAGGCTGGTCTCAAACTCACAGAGATCCACCTGCCTCTGCCTCCCAAGTGCTGGGATCAAAGGTGTGCGCCACCACTGTCTGGCTCTTGGTTACTATTTAATGTAGTATTTAACATGCTCTGTTCTAGGTCCTGGCAATGTCTCAAAACCCTCATTGGCCTTACCCAGATGGTCAGGATACTAAGTTCTAAGTTCCTGATCATGTCCTCAGACAACACTGTCAGGACCGAGCCCATCTAGAAGACTCAAAGCAGGGGCTTATATCTCAGCTGACCACTGGAGATGCTTTTAAAGCTTGAGACACAAAGTGTCCCTAGGATTGCTTCAGAGCCACTGAGAAAAGCAGACCAAGGAAGCAGGCCAGAGAGGCCATATGGCCACCTGCATCTGGTTTATTGTTCCATTTTGTCCAAACCCAGCAGAGTGTGAGGCTACCAAGGGGCAGCCGGGCTGTTCTTTGGGGCCAACTAGAGTTGGGTGTGTGGTGATAGGGGGACAAAATTCATGAAACATCCATTGGGGTGAGAGTCAAAATTCAGGAGGCCCTTCTGTGCATCTTCCATGCCTAAATTCCCTCACAGGGAGGCCTGCTGGGATCTGCATGAATGTGCTACTTTCAAAGGAAGTGAGGGCAGCCATTGGGGTCCAGTGGCATGTGGGCAGCTCCATGGGAGCCTGAATGGGCCTCCTGAGACTGCTAGACACCACCTTGTTCATGAGGTGGGCTGCTAGGCCAGGCAAGATTGGTCAGATGCAAACAGGACCCCGTCCAGATCACCTCTCCCTGAGATGTTCCCTTTCCCATGGTTCCTAATTCTTGCTCATCTTACCAACATCTCTGGTCTTCACAAATTCACCTCTTACAGAGGAACCAATCCAGTGGGTAAGGTCCGACATCCCAATACCTCCCTATGATGCTCTCTTGCCAAGAGCATCCTCACAGTGCTGGGCTTCTAATGTGTCCCAAGAAAGGGAGGTAAGTATGAGGGTCTGTGGCTATGCGGGGGCCTTGAGCACAGAGGTGAAGGCCTCTCCCTGTGTATCCCAGGGATTGAGGTCTACCCAAAGTCTTGACCTTCTATCTGTTTGTGCTGCCATCCCAGCCATGAACATGAATCCAGAAGGCCCATCGGTCAGCCTCATTGGGGCAGCACCTGCAGACCTGGTGGGAACAGAAGGAGACGAAAGTCTTGGAGGAAGGATGACTGCAAGGGATAGGAAGCCATCTCTTTCCATGCACCTTAGTCAGTTATTTGGACGGGGTGCACAAGGAAGACTTGGATCCAACTCCCCAACCCTGCCAAACCCATTCCAGGGCCAAATGAGAGAGGAAGACCAAGGTGGACACCTACCATAATTAAGAGTATGCCAGGCCCTGGAGCCCCCGGGCTGCAGAGTGGAACTTGTCAGTGTCTTCAAAAGGCTGGTCTGTGGTCACCAAGGAGAGAGGGAAATAAGCCTTCTGTGGCCTGGTGATCTTACCTGCCTGTTCTTCTCTGGGCTGAAGATAGAAGGCAGGATATATAACACTTCCTAGAGGCTGTCAATGTATCTGGCACTGTTTGGGGCCAGCATTACAGATGGAAAGGTGAGGGATACCCCTCTGCTGTCTCAGGATTCACAGCCTACACCCTTGATTTCCTTACTTCCCTGGCCTCTGGGATTCTCTTCTGGGCTGACCTCTTCCTCCTCTTCTCCCCACCCCATGTGTGTTACTGTGTGTCTTTGGTGTATGCATGCGTGTGCAGGCAGACTTGCCTGTGCATGTGTGCAGTGAAGGCCATAGGTTGGCTCTGGGTGTCTTCCCCCACTTCATTTTAGAGACAGGCTCATTCACTGAAACTGGAACTTGCCATTGTTTCCCAGGTAGACTCACTGGCCGGTGAGCCTTGGGTTTCTGCCTGTCTGACCCAGGGCTGGGGTTACAGGTGTGTTCCACCACACCCAGCTTTTATGTGGAAGTTAGGCATCCAAACGCAGTTGCTCATGCTCGCACAGCAAATACTTTGCTCAGGTCATCTCCTAAGCTCAGACCCACCTTCCCCGGTGGCCTGTGCCAAGCTGAGGAAGCAGGTGGATGAGGGCCAGGACAACAGTGAAGAGGCAGCTTCCAGGAGCAGTGACACAGATGCACAGAGGCAACCTGCCTGCCACCCACAGGTAGGAAATACATCATTTCACTAGCTCCCACCCCACCGACCCCTTCCTTGAACTGGCAGAACTCATGAGTCCTGTCTTCCCCCATCTCTCCCATTTTAAGCTGCACATACATGTTAAGACAAATTGCCCAGAAGTTGGAAAGAAGATCAAGAAAAGGGGTGCTGTGTCTTTTGAGGGGTAGAAATTGGGAACAGGGTCCTGCTGTGTAACCCAGGCTGGTTTTGAACTGGAGATCTTTCTCAGCCTCCTAAGTTCTGGGATTCCCTACTCCACCTTCCTGACATTACAGGCAGCCCGCCAGGCCCACCCAGCATCTGTTTGTGTCTGGAGATCAAAACTCTGGTCCTCATGTTTAGGAGTTTTAGCCTCTGATCCATCCCTCCAGTCATCATGTGTCCTTTTTCGGTTGCCGTTGTTTGTGTGTTTGTTTTTCCAGGACAGGGTTTCTTTGTGTAGCCTTGGCTATCCTGGAACTTGAACTGTAGACCTTTTCCAATTGTGATTTCAATCTTCTTGGCCAAGTGGCCAGTTGAGTGGGTCTAGACAAAGGCTAGGACACATCTAGCTTTAAGGTTCAAGAAGGTGGAGTCTAGGTGGACCTTCCTGGACCCCTACAGAACCTCTTACTGGACACCCTCCAAAAACAATTGGTCAACTGCCTGGGACACTGGTGATGACTGGATGGAGTAGACCTCCCTTCAGGTCACTATGAGGCAGCCTTGATTGCTCACCTGGAAGCCCCTCTCTGTGGGCTCTGGGGCAGGCTTGGGATGGGGAGCTGGGTGGGCGCAGCACAGGGGCGAAGGCGCTCCTCTGTTTGACAGCGGAGATCATGTTGACAGGCGAGAAGGAGAAGACGCTGGTGGTGGGGGCAGCGGCCGGTAGGGACATGGAGGAGGCAGCCGCCAGCGGGGGGCTAGAGGGCATGACTCCGGGGCGGGGCGAGGAAGGGGCAGGTGCAGCAGGGAAGGCAGTGGGAGACACAACAGGGAGACAGCACCAGAGTGAGCAGCAGGATTGGGGTGTCACATGGGCTGTTGACCAGGCTGCAGACCTCCCTGGGGGCTATGAGGGTCCTGAGAAGACCAGTTCAAGATAATGGGTAAAATGGGAGCTTCTGGGTCCTGGACCAGTCCTTGCCCTTTTAGGAGTCTGGATACCATTTTCAGGGTTGGTGATGACAGGATCAAACCCAGAAAAAACAAACAATCAGTGGGAAGTGCTCTCAAAGGTGGGCGATAAGAAAGAGATGAAAAGATTGGAATTCCTGCCGAATACCACCGGAATTCTGAAATGCTAAGAAATGTTTGTGGCCTGTGCTGCCAAGGCTACAGTCAAGGCTCAAGGGTCACAGCCAAGGTGGAGTAAGTAGATAGGCATGAAGTTCCGGTGTATATGCAGCCTCCTGAGTCTACCAAGGATGACAGCTCACACAAGCACCCTAACTTCCTCTAATGAGCATCCCTATGCAACGTGCCCTGAACTTTGTTCTACTCCCCAACCCTGGGCACTGTTTCTTTCCACTTTAATTCAAGGCCCTGTCATCGCCAGATCTAAACCCTAGGAGCCTCTTGAATCTTCTAGGGCTCCAGTTTAGGGCATCTCAGTCCCACCTCTCTGTGTCCTCACCTGAACCCATTTCCCTGATCTCTCTTCTAAAGACCAGAAGGCAGGGTTTTTAATCTCTGACCAGCAAGCAATGAAAAGCAGGTACAGACTTCCTGGGAATAATCTGTGGCCTAGGAAGGCAGCTTTGATATCACAACACCCACTCACTGACTTTTGGTACAAAAATGACTGCAATGGCTGCCCTATTCTCAATGTCCTTAGCTTGTGGTCACCATCGCCTTGAAGGAAATACTCAGTGCGCTGGTAAAGCACTGGCCACGATGGAATGCTTAGAATCAATGATGAAAATATACATGTGGATGTGACAGACTTTAATGATTCCCCATGGGAGGCCTCACCCTCTCTGAGGAGTGGGCGGAGTGTGGGGTGGGGAGATGATTCGGGGAGTCAAGGACTACAGGAGGGAGAGGGAACTGATATTGGTATGTAAAATAAGATTGTCTTAAAAATAAAGAAAACTGTTAAAGCAAAAAATATGTGGTATCTGCCAAGGCCCAGAGAACTAACAGCCACACTCTGCAGAGTTATGGAGTTCTAGACTTGCTAATAAGTAATACCAAAGACCAAGTAGAGACACAGAAAGCCCTAGACCCTCTGGCTTGGACAATTCCGATGACATTTTAGGGCTACCTTAGCAAACTCAATGAGAATGACACCTATGTAATTGTGTCACAAAGCACCCTGCACTGGGGGAAATGGATGTGGACCTGGGTAAGCATGTTCTGAGATGGGAACAGGCCTGGGTAGAGTCCCAAGTGTCCCTGCTGATGGTGACTCTGGTTGACTAGGGTGCACTGGGGCGGCAGTCTTCCACCCTGACAGTACTGCTGTATGTCTGGGAAAGGGTGAGGGACTCAAACACAAGGGAAACCTAGAAAAAGGCTTGGGCTCACTGTCTTAGAATAGGGGGATGTGGAGCAGTGGAACCCGGCTAAGTGCCAGGAGAGACTGGCTTTGGGAGGGACACAAGAAGGCCACAGCCTGTGTGGACTCTGGCCTGGAGAGCCGCTGGGTTCCAAAGTCAAAGCCAGGCCAGATTTGCAGCCATTAAGAACAGCAGCCCTGGTAGGAAAGTCAGGCCAGTAGCCAGACAGTTATTTTAGGTAATGAAAAACCGAGAGGAATGAGGAGGCAGAAGTGGGGGAACAGAGGGGAAAGCCATGAGTTCCTTCTTCGGCAGATGTCACTATTTCTCAGACTCAGCAGTGCCCAGGCCCTGAGGGACAACCTCCCTTGTGACTGGTAGAGAGGTTTCTGCTGGTGAGAAAGGGTGGACAGAGTCCCCTAAGCCCAGTGTTTTCTCACCATGTGGACTGAAAGTGCCTGCTAAGTCGTTGGTATTGCAAGAGGCTGCGAAAAGGGCAGCGTAAAAGGATAAAGCGTAAAAATCCACTTCCATCCATCTGTCAGGGAGCTGCCTTAACCCAACATGCCAAGCACCCACAGTTGGGGCTGGGCCTACAAAATCATTCATACATTCTTTCTGAATTTTGCCTGACATTCTAGTGGCATATTCAGATAAGAGAGCTAACTGAGGCAGGGAGGTGTATTGATCCTGTTTTACTGAAAAAAAAAACTTAAGTTATTAGGCTCAACTTGTTGACTGACTAGCAGCTCCTGGCTAAGACACTCAATTATGAATCCTGTTCTGGTCACAGGGAATTCTCTTGCTTGTCTCAACCATCTGGGAGAACCTGAGAGGCTACCCAAGGTACTCAGAGGGACAGGACAGGAAGAAAAGTGTCTTGCAGGGGAGAGGGTGAGGAAGCTCCTCCAGGGCCCCGCCGCGCCCCTAGGGGCCGCCACTCGCCACTCGGTCCCACCGGTTCCTCCCCTGCCCCAGGAAGTGCTGCGGAAACCCAGAGCTACACATCCCGGGGGCTGCCGGGCGCTGGAAGCCCGAGTCTCTAGAGTTTCCTTAGGCTTCCAGCAGGGGCCGCCAGCCTCCTCCTGTAGTCCCGGCGAAGGACCAAAAGGTTGCTGTCCACCCCGTTTCAGCACAGGTCCCCCTAATTAAGGGCGGCCTCACAATCATGGGAGGGCTAGAAGCTATGTGTACAACGGGGGTCAGTAAAGAGGGCTTAAGGTGCAAGAAGTCTGGCCCCAGGATCCCGGGGCTCCCCGAGGAGTGAGGCTGAGCCCCAAAATCTGGGAGTGGCAGTGTGAAAGCGGGACTGAGGGCTCTCCACGGCTAGACCAAGGTCCACCCACATAAGGCAGGAAATGCAAGCTCGCACTCCAGAATGGGTTGCAGGCAGGGCTGAGTCCATTCTGCATTCGCAGACTACTTTCCCACCCCCCTTCCTGTGGGCTGGGGACACTCACTGGCGAAAGGTGAGGTTGCGGTGGAGCCATTGAGAAAGCTAGGGGACCCGGGCACACCGAGGCCAGTCACACCGGGAGCACCGTAGCTGCCGAGGCCAGCTCCAAGGCCACTGCCATAGCTGCTCTGCTGAGAGCCAGGGCTGGGCGCAAACCGGGGCGACGCGCTGCCGCAGCTGCGGGCATAGCCTGCGGGAGAGTGGCGGTTAGCCCAGCTGGAGGCGCTGGGCTCTTCTAGTGCACAGCAACTGGGGGCTGGAGCGGCGACACGCACCCGGCTCCGGTGTGGCGTCCCCGACGGCGATGGCCAGAGGGCTGCTGAAGGCGTTGATGCCCACGACGGTGGGGTGTGGGTGGCTGGGGGCTAGGGGTCCGAGGGGTGCAGGTGCGCGCGGGGCGCTGTACAGAGCCTCGGCCACATCCGCCGCACGCTTCAGGAGGAGCTCCTGCGAAGACAAGAACGGGGCACGGCCGGGGCAGCGGCAGGCGCGGGGACAGAGTCCCGGCCCCTTGTGTCAGGAGGCGGGCGGAGGCACCATACCTGGTTACTGCTGGGCACTCCGTACAGGGCCTCCGCCAAGTCAGCCGCCCGTTTCAGCAGCACTTCCTAGGGCAGGGAGGAGACAGAAGGACAGAGGGGCAGCCCCTGGGGGCGCAGCGGAGCCCGGGAGGGACTTCCTCATCCCCTCGCCCATTCAACATCCTCATTCCCGGCCCATCCTCTGAGTACCTTGGGCAGCCTTTCTGGGTCCCCCGGGTGTCTGGGAATGACTTTTTGTAGCCTCTGGAAGCCGTAGTCAATGGTAGGTTCATTCAAGGCTGGGGAGAACGGCAATATTTGGAGGACACCTCTCCCAGAGTAGAACTCACCTCCACCAAGCCCAGCCCCATGTCGTCCAGATAAGCAGTCGCTCAAACATCAGTGAATACCAGGGGCATCTTCTCAGTTCCGTCATTTATTTATGTCTCTCTCTCTCTCTCTCTCTCTCTCTCTCTCTCTCTCTCTCTCTCTCTCTCTCTCTCTCTCTCTCTCTCTCTCTCTCTCTCTCTCTCTCTCTCTCTTTTCCATATTCATAGAACTAGGACTCAGGATTTTTTTGCATTTGGTCATATCAATTTGCCATAAAAAAAAACACCACTCAGCAACCTTTATTTATCACGGATCAGTCCGTTTCTGGGTAACATGTGGCTATCAAGGTTTGCATGCACCTCAGGAAAGGGACGGGCTGTCAGGAAGATGCAGTGCTCAGCCCCTGACTCTTTCCTCCCCTTCCCCTTGAACTTCTTACTCTATCTTGGTCTCAAAGCTCTACTTTCTTCAATTTCAATGCTAGACTTAGTTCATTTCCTTTCCTTTTCCCAAATCATAAAGTACTCACTTTCTGGGCTTGGTTCTTGCCAGACTTCTACTGCCAATGTCTACCTCCCTATTCCCCTGTAGTTACAACTTAGCCTGGTTCAGTACATGCTTCCAGGTGTGGGGTTTCCTCTGTCAAATCCTCTATCCTGTAACTCCACCCACCCCACCCCCCATCCATCCATCCTGTGTCTGCAGTTCAGCCTGCGCAAGTTATGATGGAGCTACCTGAGGGTATCCTGAGCCCCCATGCCTCAGTGAGTATGGAGAGAAGCCAATGGCTTGAGTAGGAGCCAGATACAAGCAATGATGGCAGTGAAGGCAGTGAATGAGGGTTTCCACCAGTGGTCAAACTGAACCCAGTTTTCACTGCTTCCTCTGAGCCTTGTGCTAACTGTTTACCAAGGCATTGTACCAGGGTGTGTATGAGTCTCTGGGATCACACACACACACACACACACACACACACACACACACACACCCCTGTATGTGAATGTAGAGTACAGCCTGGAAGACCCAGGACACCCATGGAAGATTTGAAGAGTAGTGAGCCCATTTGGAACATGCTTGAGATGAAAAAGCAACAAACAAACAAACAAAAAGAAAAAGAAAACCATCGAGAAGGTCCTGAACTCCAGAGTACATGGCTAGGAGGGAGAGCATCCCTTGGTGAGAAATAGTTTCCAAGGATCCAGAAACTCAGGGAGAGAAACAGGTCACTAGCAAAAAGGACTGAGAGATCACCTAGTAGGTGTAGGTAAGGGTGTGTGTTGGTCACTTAGGTGTGGGTGTCGGTGAAGGTGTGTGGGGAATGAGGAGCAGCTGCGTAGGGCACGTGGCCACCTGGAGATTTTGTCAACCCCTGCAAGTCCTTGAGTTCAGAGGCTATCTCTGTGGATCTTAGTCTACTCCAGCTGCCTTGTTCCTTACCTGTGTAGACAAAGCGGCCGGGGGCTCCTTTACAAAACTGCTTGGACTTGTAGGAGAGGGTCACTTCTACTACCCCAGGAATGTGTCTTGGTGGCGTCTGCACCCGGATAGCGTGGGGAGTGATGAGCTGTGAGAGCAGAGGGGAGGCCTGCAGGTCTAGTCCTGTGCAGAGGGCCTAGCCCTGAGACTCAGAGGGAGACTGGCAGGGGGCTGGCCCACCTCACTCCACAGGAGCACGTTGCCAAACACGACCTGCAACCCGTCGAAGAAGTTGTCTCCGATGATAATGACGGTGGCGCCTCCCGTGGTCCAGCCCTCCCCGGGGCTGATGGCCTTGATGCAGGGGGTAGCAGCTGGGAGGTAGGAGAGGACCCAGGTCAGGGGACTGTACCAAGGTGGACTCTGAGGTTGGCCAGGGCTGGACTGGGAGTCCTGACCTTCAGAAGGGTCCAGGCGTCGGGCCCTGCGGCCGTGTTTGGAGTTGTTGTGCACAAACATGTTGTCAGACACGGCTAGCACGTGTCCATCCACACTCACTGTTGTGGACACCACCACCTGTGTGGGCAGATGAGACCAGTCTGGCTGCGGCCCTTGGGACTCCTGCGTGGGCACTGCTAGGAAGAACTAGCACCTTCAAGTGGGTGGCTGGAAGCTGGAATTCAGAGTGTGCTGGGTGGGGTTGAATCCAGCTGAACCAGGCAATACCCTAGATGAACTAGCCGCTCAGGAGCTACAGAAATCAAAAGCCCTGGAAAAGTTGCAGCTCTTCAGACGAGAGTGCCCTCTGTTTTTGCACCCACGGGAACACTATTCAGCATCAGTCAAGTTTGGAGACAGGGATGCCTTCCTAAAGTTGGGGCACAACATCAGGTAGAGAACCCATCAACAGGAGCCCCCACTTTATTCTGGGCAGGAAGTTGATGCTGCCTTCTCCCTACCCCCTGCTTTGGGAGGGGCATGCAGGTTGGGGATGTGCTAAGGGCAGCTGTTCTCAGCTTCACACTATGCAAATTACCTGGGTCGTTAATCATGTAAAAATGTCACAATTAGCATCTTCTTAAGTGGGACTCTAATGAAGCCTCCCTTGGCAGCCAGCATAAGTTGAGATGGAGCTACCCCACCCCCAGTAGGCACCAGCCCCTGAGCCACGGGGCTAGGCAGAGATCTGCTCCAGCAGGGTCACAGTTTTCCCTTCACTTATCAGTAAAGGGCAGATTTGCATGGGGTGAGAGGGCTTTTCCCAAACCTACCTGGAAGCGGCGCATGTCTCGGGGATTCCCTGCATTCTTCAAGCAGTTCTGGTTGCATTTGAGAAAGAATTTGAGGAAGAACCTGAAACAGTGAGGTTAGGAGGCTCAAGGGTCTGGGGGTTCTGTAAATAGATGAAGATCATGGCTCCCAGCCTTGCCTCCTCCCGGCACCGTGATGCCTGCCCCTTGTTTGCTTACACACAGGTGCACACTCCATATTCCTATCTCACGCTGTGTACACACAGGGTGCCTGGGATAGACCAAATAGATCTATCACAAGGACTACCTTATCACACAGATGCGCACAGGGCTTATTTGTCTATAATGTGTATATTTATCCACCTGCACAGCGTATGTCGATCACAGAGTGTGCCAATCATAAATTCTACAGTACATGTGCGTACCTATTACCCACAAACTACACTCATCACAGTGTGTACCTATCACACATACAATGTATATTCCACACGTAGCATATACTTACATATGCCCAATACGGAAAGTAAATTTTCACCATGTATATCTGTCACAGTCTGTGACACATATATCTGTCATATAGCACATCTCTCCCCAAATGATAACCACCACCTATACAAACCTATATAAACTGTGTCAGTTATAGATGATGCATATGCCTTATTATTACTCACAAGCTACAGCCATAGCACAAGCATATATTTTACATAGGACCTATACTCATCAAACAGGAGGCCAGGAGGTGGTGGTACACACCTTTAATCCCAGCACTTGGGAGGCAGAGGCAGGCAAATCTCTGTGAATTTGAAGCCAGCCTGATCTACATAATGAGTTTAGGCCAATCAAAACTACATAGAGAGATCCTGCCTCAAAACAAACAATCAAAAAGCAAACCAAGTCACAAAAAAAAAAGGAAAAGAAAAACCACAGTTCTTGAGTAGTACAGTGCACATGTAAGTCTATGCCCATCATGTGTGTTATGTGCACACCCTACAGGGTATATGCATAGCAAGAATATAGAAAATAATGTACTTATTTGTGTTGTATATGACTTTAAAAAACTGTCACTGAAAATAGCATCCCCCTCAGCAGATCCCTCTTCCACAGATTTCCTATTCATTATACACAGAAATCTGATAACACAGAACACATACTTACCACACACTCATACCATGCAGATATGCAGATTAGCTTCTTTGTTGGTTTTTGTTTGTTTTTTGAGGCAGGGTTTCTCTGTATAGTCCTGGCTATCTTGGAACTCTTGTACACAGGCTGGCCTTGAGCTTACAGAGATCCACCTGCCTTTGCCCTCCCAAATGCCAAATGCTGGGATTAAAGGTGTGTGCCACCACCACCTGGCATTTTTTAAATGTATAACTGTTAAACAACAGACAACAAGAACAAACCACAGTATATGTCATGAAGAGGCCAATCCTCCAGTCTTCCAAATAGTTGCCGGGAAGCCCTGACACCATACCAAGGTAACCGCGGACAATACCTTAATCACTGTAAATGCAAATCCTATAATGTGCACCTCAGCCCCATGAGACTCTGTGAGCATCTTTGGGCATTCTCTACATGTATAGGGCAGGGCTAAGTCCATGGAGGGTCTTGGCATGTAGCATGACTTCCTGGGCATCTGATGGGCTCTTCTAGTTAATGTTCCTAATTTACTTCCACTTATTTGGGAGGCTTTTTTTTTTTTTTTTTTTTTTTTTTGGTTTTACGAGACAGGGTTTCTCTGTATTGTTTTGGAGGCTGTCGATCCAGCCCGGCCTCGAACTCACAGAGATCCGCCTGCCTTTGCCTCCTGAGTGCTGGGATTAAAGGCGTGCGCCACCACCGCCCAGCTTTGGGAGGCATTTTTACCAGGTTGTTTCTTATAATAAGTAGCAGATAAGAGTCTAACATTAGGGTGATACTCTGAAAGAGTACATATTGTAGCTACCTGTATGCTATTTATACACGTTTCTTAGTTGTTAAGATATTTTATGGTATAGATACCCTAGAACTCATACAAACATAGACCTCATACATGTCCCACCCTCAAATGGGTAGTGTATTAGCTCCCTAGGCAGAGTACAGGCTAGTTCATTAATTCTCAGTACCCAGCACGCTCTACCAGGGGACAGAAGGAGGGAAACATCTCAGATTGGGACAAAATCCTATGCTGAGGGGATTAATGCTAACTCCTAAATACCATGAATGATATGACCAGCATGGTGATGACCCAAAAGGTACTTCCCTCGTACCCCACTTGCCCACTGTACCCAACTCCCAATCCTGTAGAGTTGGGAGGAAGGGTTCCTGGGATATGGACGGGATGTGAATGGGATGTGGATGAGTTGTGGGTACCATGAACAAGTGCTACTCTGCACACTCTGTCAGTGGTTTTCAGAAGGCATCCAGACCAGCAACATTGCATGGAAACTTGGTAGGAATGCAGAAACTCAGGCTCTGCCCTAGATCTGCTGAATCTAAACAGTTCTGCTGGGACCCAGCCTCTGTGTTCCTTTAAGTCCTTTGTGGCATTGAACCTCTTCGAATGTGGTTAGTCTCAATCTGAGATGTCCTACAAGTATGAAATACATATTGGATTCCAAGCACTTTGGAAAAAGGACTACAAAATAACTCAGGTATTAGCTGGTTATGGCGGTGCATACCTGTAATCTCAGCACTCAGTGGGTAGAAGTGGAAAGATCAGGAGCTCAAGGCTAGCCTCAGCTACATAGTGAGTTTAAGGCTAGCCTGGGCTACATTAACCATACTCCTCCCCCCAAAAAATTAACCTCGGTAATTTTTTATCACATTGGAACATTGTTGAGATACATTGGATTAAAGAAAATGTATTAACACCATTAATTTTACCTATTTTGTAAAAAGAAGTTCTAACTAGAATCTCACACGTGACCTGCATTACATTTACATTAGAGAATGCTGCTGTAGAGTGTTATGTCAATAACAATGCCCAAGAGCATCTGATCCTCCTCCTATTCCCAGTGAACGGGGCAGCCCTGCTGTGATGTTACAGCTGACTGGTAAAAACTGGTAAGACGTAAATGATGCTTGTTGGGAAAGGTAAATAAATTTTGTTTGGTAGAGAAAATTTGCAATTGTGTTGTCCTATGGACATTATCTAGCTTTATATCTAACCTGTCATATTCTAGTCTTTTTCACACTCTCTGCCTTCCCCTTCCTCTCCTCCCTCCCCCTCCCTTTCAGAGCTATGTATAAATTTCTTCAGAGCCAGTCTGTTACCCCGCTGGTTACAGAGAACATCAATCGATTCACGGCCACGGTCTTTTCACATTTGAAGATTGAGCTTTGGCGTTAGTGACTGTGCCACTCAGTGTCCCTGCCTCCCGAGGCTGGAGTTGCAGGACTGATGGTTGGGAGGAGGAGAAGGGTGAAGAGGGGAGTGGGAAGAGATAGTGTCTGTAGAGGCCAGATGTGGAGAATGATTGCTGGGGGAGGGAGGGTTCTGGAACCTGGTGGGAAGGACAGTGCAGAGAGACAATTACATGGGGACAAGGACCTGAGCATCCAATACACCATCAGGGGCCTGGAGCATGCAGGTGGGTATGCGTGTTTTATTGAGGATTTGTAATCCCTGCTCATCATGAAGGAAGTACACTCTACCCCTAAAGCTGTGTGTCCTCTGTGCAGCACTCCTTGTCCCTGGCTCCACAGGGCTGGAAGGGAACTCACAGAAACCCTTTTCTCTGACGGAGATGGACCACAGGCTGGAGGAAAAGAAGACAGTGCCAAGCCCATAGACTCCAGTAGAGCGAGCATGGGACTATGCCAAGCCCATAGACTCCGGTAGAGCGAGCATGGGACTATACCTAGTGCCATTCTCACTGCTGGCAACAAATACCTCTGAGGACAAAATTTCATCTGGATCTCCAAGAAATGACTATAAGAGAAAGGCCACATGCCAGGAGCTGCCCTTGGAATTAATGGGAGAAAATACTACAAATACAAGTAGTGAAAATAAAATGTTTCATAGAGGAACAACACAAAACCCTTACAGCAAACCCATTCTAGTCAATCATTCAGTGAATGCCTGGGACTCTGTTCAGTCTATCACTTGTCCTTATCTTCTTTCCTCCTCTCAAAACTCTTAGGTGGTGTGTAGATCTGTAATTGTTCCCACTGTACAAGAATCAAGGTTAAGCAAGAGTAAGTCACACAGAATAGTAGGTTTAAAGTTGGGATGTAAACTCCGGTCTCTTTGGACTGTTTCTGCTGACAAGAGTACCTGTAGGTAGGATGTCAGAATCCAGAGTGACCCAGCTACAGGGTGGTGTGGCAGGAGTCCACAGTCCTGAGAGCTGTCCTGTGCAGGGACCCATAGATGTACTCTATGCTATTCCCTCAAGATTTCCATTTGCCTGTAGTGTGGACCTTTGGATACTGTGGCTGAGGCTTTCAAACATTCCAGATTAAACACTTCTGAACAAGATGTTTAAAGATGTGTTTGTTTTTTTAATTTTTTAATGTACATTGGTGTTTTGCCACATAACTGGAGTTACAGACAGTTGTGAGCTACCATGTGGGTGCTGGAAATGGAACCCAGGTCTCTAGAAAAACATTCAGTGCTCTTAACCGCTAAGCCATCTCTCCAGCCCCCAAGATTGGTGATTGTTGAATCTCTTTGAGGCTCAGTATCTTTCTGCTTCTATGTTCAACACTCTCCATACTAGAAAATGCAATTAAGGCTGGGTGGCGGTGGCACAAACCTTTAATCCCAGCACTCAGGAGACAAAGGCAGGCAGATCTCTGAGTTCAAAGGCTAGCCTGGTCTACAGAGTGAGTTCCAGAAGAGAAACCCTGTCTCGAAAGACAAAAACAAAAACAAAAGGAAAGAAAGAAAATGTAATTATCAAAACAAAACAGAGAATAGCTATACCAGTACTCATCCACTTACAAAAGCATTTAAGGTAAATATGCTTCAGGACACAGAGCCTGTGATTTAATGACAAGTCAAGAGAAGGCATGGTGGCCACACCTTTAATCCCAGCACTCGTGAGGCAGAGGCAGGCAGAGATCTTTGTGATATCCAGGCCAGCCTGGTCTACACAGAACTACATAATGAAACTTTGT